ACTTCTATCACTGCTATCGCTTGGAGCTGAAGGAGTATGAGAGATGCTCTTTCAACTGATTCCGCCGCATATAAATTTACACTTTTTTACATTTAAACAGAGTATTAAAATAATCAAAAACTCAATTTTAAAATAATCGAAAATTATTTTAACACTTTACTCAATTTATCACATTCATTACCTCTTCACTAATTGTCTGCAGCTTTTTGAAAGTGTCAAATATTTCAAATGTCATTGATAGTTTTTCATGCATTCTTGTAACCATTGCAATGAACAGTCAACCAATCCGCTCCATTTTGGGTTGGTTAGCTTTAATTTCTATAATGTTATTTGCACAATTATTTCCCTCATATTGAAGTAAAAAAAAAGAAAAGGGGCAATTACATACATAAGATTCGAAATATTGTTATTTATAATTCATCGAATTTTCAAATACACCCTCAAATATCAAAGATTCACAGTAACATCGCAACTCTGATCTTTCACTTTTTTATCAAACTCTACAAATATAACAGTCCTGTAATTCAAAAAATCTCCTGGGTGTTAATTTCATAAATAGCAATATTTCAAATACTGTATGTAATTATTCCTAAAAACACTTATATCCAACTGATGTTTCTTGCACCTTATAAGCAAATCTCGCGTTACAACCAATCACGCGAGGGTTGTAGTTTATGAGAAAATTTTACGTCCGGAGGATGCCCGGACAACGGCCTGGATGCAACGAGGAGTCCGATTCCTCCTCTCCTCAGCTGCATCAGGTCAGTTGTCCGGACATCCAGAGTCCGAAAGTAAAATTTATTGGTAGTTTATACGGCCTTTATCACCGGCATCACTCAAGACAAGAGGAAACTATGCTCTCAGAGAGAAGCATAAATTTCTCAAATTAAATTCAAAGTATAAATGAATCTCTTTTTCAGCCAAAAAACAAAATTTTTAATAGAACCAATTAAAAAAAAAGGCATTTACATATCTAACATCTAAACGTCCATCTTTACATACATACACTGGAATCTTTAATATTAAATAAAAACATACCAATATCATTAACTTCTCAAAAGTAAAATACTCTTTTTCATGCACAAGTTATTGACAACAAGGTGTCGTAAATGTAAATATCAAACTTTTTGGTGTTAGATATGTAAATACATAGGAATTGTGTTCTATGTATGTAAAATTCCTTTAAAAAAGGTGGTTGGGGACTCCGGGGCCCATCAAAAGACTACAGCAAGCTTACCTAAACCAAACTAAACGCATGTATCTTAGAAAATTGACGCCGCAGAGGAAAATAAATCAAAATAAAATCTTATTAGCTGCAACTTATAATCACTTTACTATTCAGAATACAACCGTCCAACATAGAAGCAATTCGATAAAAGAAGATCACCAGAGGGTTCCAGACATAACCATAAGCCTACTTGAAGAGATTGGGATTCAGCCAGTCCCTAAAAAAGACATTATAGAGAATGTAAGTTGTCAATAAGCTCATGAAAATATTGGAAGATTTAAATACATGCCACTTAATTTCTATATATTTACATATCTAAAACCTTAATGTTAATTTTCACATGTATGCAAAACCTTTACCTATGCCTGAAAAAGGCGTATTTAACTTTTAAAAAAGTTAAAATAGAGGTGTTTTTGATGTGATATGAAAGATATGGATGGCACAAATGTAAGAAAAGTAAGTTTAGTTGTTAGATATGCAAATACATAGGAACTACTTGGTGGTATGTATGTAAATGCCGCTAAAATATTTTAGACGAATAAATAATTGAAATGCAAGTGTTTACTTGCTAATGTCATCAAGATGATCATCAAAGTCCACGACTTCATTCCACTTCTCAGTAGATATATAGTCCAATAAAACTATATTGGCTGAAGTTTCTTTGGTGGTCAGCAGAGAGCTTCCTCCAGATCCAGCAGACCGCCAACTTTTCGAGGAATCCCTCGTAAACAACTGCAGGAAAAGAAAGAGATGATAGAAGCTGAATGAGGTGAGATATTTCTGTAAAGTTCATTGGATCAAATCTTAAATTTATGTATTGACATTAAAATTTTATTTATAAAAAACACAGATATCAATAATTATATAAGTTTCTAAACCAGGATTAAACCCAGTTGGATGGTTGGGTTGTATTTAAAGCAACATCCAAACGGTTAAGCTATTAAAATGTCATAATTTAACCTTAGCCAAAATTAAGACCAAATAACCTCTTAAGCTAAACCGAAAATAGGCCCTCTGAACATAAATATAAAAACCGCTACAAATATGATAAGTGGAGGCTAAAGAATGCTCCCATCAATGCAGTTCCAAGTTTCCTCCTTGCTTGGAAGATGAATTTAAAAAGTTTTCAAGCAAAATTTAAAAAGATTTCTCGCAGTCCGAATGAATACCAAGGCCTTCTAACTCTTTCTTTGTAACAAAATCATAGATTGAATATAATTTCTACAAGTCATGGCCAATATAGGAGTTTATGGCCAGAAATCCCTAATTCTGACATTTAGTCCTCGGTTAGTCCACGGTTACTGCAGAAAGTCAAATCCTTGCAGCAAAAAGGACTGCTTCTCCTTGAATCTGTGTGCCACGTTATGTCACCACTGCAGTTGAAGGTAAATCATAGAAGTGGCAATATCTGCCCATTTAGTTACTCTCTGTAACAAAGTATCGTGAGCTCAAAAATGAATGCCGTGCTTTATGGTTTTGATGATCCTAAATGTAATTGGAATAGGTAACCAACAGAAACTTGAGAAATATGGGATATTTCAATAGTGAAATTATAAAAAAATGATAAAATTTAACGAATAAAAACAGACATTTTAATTATCTAAGGCGACGTTCCTAATCCTTGAGCCCAAGTATACCCTAGGCTCAATTACACTCTAAGAGTCCTTGGCAGAGTTAAAATGCTATCAAGCATAAAAAAATAAAATAGACTAATAACAGGCACGGTAATCTAGCAATCATGGGGCTGTTTTCAATCTTAGGGTGTCAAAGGAGTCTTAATTTTAGCTAACAAGGGGGCTGGTTTGACTGAAAAAAGATCTAAATCGATTGAAGGCAACCCAAACTCGGCCCAACCAAATACAAGAAGAAGTTAAACAAAATGGATTACTGAATTTAAGTTGCAGTAAGTTTCATTCTTATTTGTCACATTATCTTTTCATTATATTATTTTTTTTGCTAATGAAATCTTACAAAACATCATGGCATTAATTTAATTTTATAAAAAGGCAACTAGAAAAATTTAAAATGACTTTGTAGCCCTAAAGCTTGGAGCACACTTCTCACCTTTCTAAAATGAGTTTTAAAGATATGAACTTTGCTAAATTTAATTTCAATCAAACAAACCACCTGAAATTTTGTTTCGGAAATGAGATGCAATCAATTTCAAACATTTACAGTTAATCAAACTAATCATATATCAACCTAAAAAATCACCCAATTAAATTGACAGTTTAATCAGAAGGACATAAATACCCTTCAATTACAGAGTTAAGATTCGGTTGTTAGGTTAAACCGAACTCAGCTCAAACGCTAAACATGCTGGCAAGGTTAAGAAAATCAGCCCAAACATCAAACCAGAAGAAGAAAATAGGTTAAAATGCAAAGGTTGAACCAATGGTTGAACCGGTTAATATAATAAACAGTAAAATCATTTAAATATGACTTAAAATAGTATAATAGTTATATAATATGTATATTAAATTTATTCAAAATAAAAAAAAAATTATAATATAAATAATTTTATGAAATATTTTATCAATTATTGCAACCCAAGTCCCACATTCCAGCACAATTTCGGTAGCCTAGCCAGGTCCAATTTTCATAGCCGATCCCAATTCTTCATTCTCATAATCATTCACTTAACTAGTTCAGCCCCACATTATAGGGGAAAGTTAATATTGTAAACTTTAAATTGAAACAAAAAAAAGAGTTTGTAGTTCATTTTGCCTGTAAACATATTGCTCTTAATTTGTATGTTGAGGGGTTTATATGATGCGTGCGAAGTGAATTTTAAAATTTTTAAAAATAATATATTATATTTTAATAAACATATTTGCAACCAATAAGATCATTGATTAATGTTAATTAAAAGCTCAAAAAATAAATAAAATGTTCTTATACAAAACTTAAATGAACAGGTTGGTTCTTTCAAACTGGTTTGTCAGTAAAACCATCGCTTCATGACGGTTTTGGATGGTTCAATTTAGGAGACGATTTTTGTAGGAACCGAACCAAAGCCTATAACCGGTTCACAATTGAATTGGTTGAATCAGCTGATCCTGTTCAATTTTCAAAATCATGCATTTAGATCTAAACTTAATGAAAATATGACACCTAATAGGATGTAATGGAGAAAAAAGATTAATGTAGCCAACGCCACATAGTGGGATTAAGGCTTTGTTGTTGTTTTTGTATGCAGTTAGGTCTAAACTTCAATTTTTTGGGTCAGTTCGAGTCAATTATCACTGAGGTAGAATTTTGGTACTCACTCCAATGTGTGTTAATAAGGCTATTTTTGCATTTTAAAATTGTCCTTGTCCTTAAGCATTGTCAAAATGATAAAAAAAAAATGCATGTATTGAAAAAGCACCACCGAAAAAAACCAAACAATGAAAATCTCCTTACAACATTCTTAAGATAATGCAATAACATTCAAATACTAGATAAATTTCCAACACGAGTGAACAAAATTATTGAATCAATAATAGTTGGCTTTAAAACACCCTTTGAAGACTTTGTATGCCCAATAGTCTAGGTGATGTGGGGTGGCTTATTTCCTGAACCGGCTCAATCCAAGAGTATTGAGGGTCAGCTAGTCTTCTAGTCTTAAGAGTTTCGTCTCTTTTCAAGAAAAGGCCCACTCCTAGTTATCTAGAAAAGTATATTTGCTTTTTTGGGTGTTTAGGGTTCAGTTTTTTCAGTGATTTGCTTTGGGGCAGCCATCAGCGTCTTTTTTTCCCTTTCTAGGGTTGTATCCTAGAGCTCCAAGTGGTGCTCTGAGAGATGTGTATCCCCTTCTACCCTTCCTCTACTCTCTCCAGCATCAATTTGCATCAATTCCCTTCACCCTCACCACTCTCCTCTTGCTACCACCTTGCCAAACCCCTTCCTTCTTGTAATTTCAGACCTTAAATTCAGAAATAATTTTTGTTTTTCCTTTAGCGTTTAATAAATTCCCGGTATCACTAGGTTGATTCTTGACTTTTAGCAAACAGTTAAATAAGCATTTAAAAAAAATTACCAGTTCGCTACCAATTCAGTGGGCAGTGAAAAAGCCAAAAAATGCATCCAATTTAGAAGATAGGGAGAATGGGCAAACTGACAAGAAGCATTACAATTGTCCTTGTTTTATTAAGAGTAGTTGATGTGTCCACTATCCTTTTTCATATTCTTCTTCAAAGTTTTCGCTCCAAAATATTGCTTTTTTGGAATATCAAATTACAATTTACATGTGATTCAACATTATCATCATTAGTAATCATATGCCAACTATTTGTAGTCTAGCTTATAAATTGTTATTTTAATTCATTCCTACAGAATATTGCATGAGATGGTAAACGTATTCTATACAAATCATTTCAAACAACTTTGGCCTCTATTACCTTTGGTAATTGCACAAATTGCCCCTGTTTCTTAATTATAATATATAAATTGAACAATTTACCCATCAAATGGGTGTATTCTATTCTTTGTTGAACATGTCCAAAACAGTCAGAACAATTTTCATTGTTTAATTACTTTAAATTAAATGGATGCCCTTCAAATTATCAATATAAAATAATTAGTCATGTTTTTCATGTATTTATTTTATATCTCATTTTTGCAACACTAAACATAACTATTAATAAATTTTTTTCCGCCCAACACTTTGATTTATATGACATCATCGGCCGAATTGAAGTTTTATAAATTTTAGTTCAGTTTATATGATATCATCAAACCTAAACTTAAGACTCCTCTCAATTCTAATCAATCAACCTCGACTTTAGAAGTTATAACCATATTTCTATTCTCAATCTTTTGTACAATTAGATCCAAAAAGTTTAGATCAATCCTACCAATAAATCATTTTATCTTTTAAAAATATTAATTGATAATTATTAATATCATAGAATAAAAATAGTAACTTATATATTTAATTTTATTATAATAATTCTAAGTTCTTATTTTTCAAATGCTTTCTCAGTATTCAAACATTTCACTTATTTCAGCCAAATCTCATTGATTAAAGCAAAATCATCAATAAAAAGCACACAACAAGGAATTTGACTTTGAATATCCTGTGTAAACGTCTCCATAAAGAATAGAAAAAAGACACGCTCAATATTGCTCTTAGATGAAGTTCTATTGTAATTTAAAACTATTTGTCACTCCACAACTAGTTATAATATCATCCATTACTCCATTATACATATCTTTCATAACTTCAAAATACCTTAAACATGCATTTTTCTTTCTTAATCTTCATCATATCAATTATCGTAGTACTAAATCATACATCTCAAAATAAAAAAAATTCACATTAGCATCTTACCTCTGCTCTATATACATTTCATCATTTATTTTAAAGCAAAAAATTTGCTTCTATAGTTGATAATTCTACCATGAAACTAAAACATTTCTCCATAATTTATGTAATTTTTTCAAACTTTATGTTACCTTATTCACTTCCATAGCTCTATTTTATGCCTCAAAACTTTTCCCAATCTTTCAGCATCCTTTTCAGCCTTCAAAAATTCCATTCAAAAGATTTGTTAAGCAACCAACTGCAGAATCCCCAAAAGTTCTCCACATTTCAATATATAACTCATCAAAACTTTCAAATTTACTCTAATGCATCTTTTGTAGAGTAAATTCAACATCAATTTTCTTTTGCATAAAAATATAATAAATTTAATTGCTTTGTTCCAAAATAACTTCAAGAAAAAATATAGTTTCCCTTCACTAATTTTTCAAATGGCAAACCACAATGCAAAACCTTAATGATAGCCAATTAATTAAAAAAATTATGTCTGATAACAAGAGTAAAGAAATAGATGAACAATGAAATAGTTTATGCAAGTCTGTTTAACGAGAAAATCTTAATATGTACATGGAACTTGCATCTTTCTCAAGAAAAACACATTGTAACCTGTTTTTAATGTTTGTGATGCGATGTAACAGATGAAATATTAACAAATCTTTTAGAAATCAAGCACTAAAAATATGCCAAAAAGGATGGAACAAAATTCAATTTGAGCGTTTTACCTAAGAAAAGCCCAATATGACAAGTGTGACCAGCCTCAACAACCTCAACTATAGTGCATACTGTTTATAAATAATAGCAATAACCTCTATTAAGAGAAAACCCTAGTGTATTTGCTAATAGAGGAAAAAAGCATTTACCTGCAACACAGGATCGCGTCCCTTCCCTTTAGGCAATCCTTCCAGCTTTTTACTGTCTAACTGTAGCAATTAAACACATAAACCCATCACATAACCAAAAAATCAAATCCTTGGACAAATTCGTCTAGTGTATACTGATTGGAATCAAAACATCGACAATAAATGGGCGCTCACCAAAAGCAAGGCCGCCTGCGGGAAGTATCGAAAGATGTGGTCGCTAATCTTCTTGGCGGCACCACTAAGCTCGGTATCATCCTGCCTCTCGTTGGCGTGGTAGTACCCAACAACACCCAATCCATCAGACGCAAAGTGCTCCTCGACCTAGTTGACATTGAAGACAATGAGAAGATGGATCGAGATAGCCATACAGAAACCCTAGAGGAGAAATTAGCCTTCAGTAGGAGATAGAGTGCCTGGATCAGGGCAAGCTCAAGGTAAGGAAGGATGCCGATCTGTGAGTGGAATAGAGGGACAGAATCAGAGATCTGCACGGTGGGAGATCCGCCGCCTCCGCCACCTTCTACAAGCCGGCCGACGAGTAGACCGTTGACTGAAGAGGAGGCGTGCTTCAGAGCGTGAAGGACAAGCTTTATGTATGCGCACTGCGAAATCTGGTATCTGCAGTCCGCCATCTCGTTCGTTCACACTCCCGTGCGACGGCCCTCCCTCGAAAACTAAACGAAGAAGGAACGATTTTGATTTCCTGTTCGATTTTCCAATTCCAACACCCCCTTTTCTTAGATTTACAAATGTACTGCCAAGTTTCCCAAAGTATTTATATCTAACTGGGCTGTCAAAAAGGCTCGTTGTTTGCGAACAGTTCGTGTTCGGTTCGTCAATGAGTTCGTGTTCGATTCGTTCGATAAGTAAACGAGACAAACACGAACAATTTTTTTTCGTTCGGTTAGTTAAACGAACCAAACACGAACAGTGATGCGTTCATTAGTGTTCGAATCGTTATTGTTTGAAATATAAAATAATATAAAATAATTATATATAAAAAATTTATTATATTTTAAAACATTAAATTTTATAAATCATAATATATAATAAAATAATAATAATAATAATATATTAATATACTATAGTAGTAATGTACTAATATAGATATTATATATTTATATAATATAAGTTATATAATTAATATATAATATTATTTTTATATATTAATATTAG